TTTATATCTCACAATTCAAATTTTTTCTCACAATTCTGACTTTATATTTCGCAATAAAACATTTTTTTGCAATTCTGAGTTTATATCTCACAATTCAAATTTTTTTTTCGCAATTCAAATTTTTTTTCCTCAAAATAGTTTTTTTTTTTCCGCAATTCAATTTTTTTTCTCCTATTTCTGACTTTATATCTCACAATTCTGACTTTTCTCCTAAATGTCTTGCTTTATATTTCGCAATTCAGAATTTTTTCCTGCAATTCTGATTTTTTTGTTGCAATTTTTACTTTTTATCTTGCAATTAAAAATTTTTTTTCTCAAATTCGGACTTTTTTTTCTCACAAATCTGACTTTTTATATTGCAATTCTGTTTGTATCTCACAATTCTGACCTTTTCTCCTCCAATTCTGACTTTATATCTCACAATTGTAATTTTTTCTCACAATTCTGACTATATTTCGCAATAAAAAAATTTTTTGCAATTCTGAGTTTCTATCTCACAATTCAAATTTTTTCTTTCAATTCAAATTTTTTTTCCTCACAGTTCTGATTTTTTTTTTTTTTGCAATTCTAACTTTATATCTCACAATTACATTTTTTTTCTTGCAATTCTGACTTTTTTCTTACAATTAAATTTTTTTTCTCCTATTTCTGACTTTGTCTCACAATTCTGACTTTTTCTCCTAAATGTCTTGCTTTATATCTCGCAATTCTGAATTTTTTTGTTGCAATTTTGACTTTTTATCTCACAATTCAAATTTTCTTTCTCACAAATCTGACTTTTTATCTTGCAATTCTGTTTGTATCTCACAATTCTTACCTTTTCTCCTCCAATTCTGACTTTATATCTCACAATTCTGACTTTTCTTCTCAGAATTAAATTTTTTTTGTCTTGCAATTGTAAATTAACATTTAACAATTCAATTTTTTTTTCTCAGAATTGCAAGAAAAAAGGTCGCAATTACCTTTTAATTCATTGTCCTGCAGCGGAAACAGTGAACGATCATCAGATGGATTTAATAAACCCAGCAGCTCAGTCTATATTACACACGGCACAAATGCATTAGAATAAGCTGAATAAATGCTGACAGAATGATGGGTTTGGGGTGAATCGTTCCTGTCCTCCTCCATGCGGGTCTCCAGAGGGAAGGTCAGCAGTCCAGCTCAGTGCTGCAGTAGATCAGGAGCATTCACAGTCAGAAGTGCTGCTGGGAGACTCTGTGGTCAGCAGCGGGACATGTGTTTGCGGTGCTGCTCCAGCAGCGGCACCAGACAGCGAGGAGAAGCGGCCTGCAGCATGAAGAGATGCTGGAGCAGATCACCGGCGCTCGCTCGCTCCAGCGGATCACGCCTCAACATCGAGTCCAGAAAGTCCCTCAGGACGGGAGAGATCTGATCACAGGATTATTATTATTATACTACATGAGAATTTAATGTCAAACATCATAATGACAAAAAATAACTTGATGGTCTTAAAAATAGGCTTCATTTTAAATCTGAAAAATAAAGTGATTTTATTTCATTTACTTTATGCATGATATCAGTGTTGTTTTATATACTAGTTATAGTATTTGCTATTTTTTAATTAGCTGTTATATATATATATATTAGCTTTTACTTTTACAATTTTAAGTTTAGTAGTTTTGTTATGGTTTTGTCATTTTTGTTTTTATATTTCTATTTAGCTATTTCAAATTTATTTTTCAGTTTTAGTAAGTGTACTTTTAAACATCATTTTCATTTTTTAAGTTGTGTTTTATTATTTATATACTATTTATAGTATTTTGAATTAACCGTTTTAATATTTGATAATTATATTTTGCATTTATATTAGCTTTTATTTTTACAGTTTTAAGTTTAGTAATTTTGTTACATGTTTTTGTCATTTGTATTTACTTTTTTAAATATATATTTCTATTTAGTTTTTTTTTTTTATATATCTTTATTTTGTTTTAGTAAGTGTATAACTTTTAACATTTATAATTTTCTTTTTTTTTTAGTTAAAGTTTTTTTTTTTAGTTTAAGTGTTTCATCTAATATTTATTTTTATATTTTTATTCTTTGTGTAATCAGTGATGTTTTAGTATTATTTATATTCTATTTACAGTATTTGTTATTATTTTGAATGGGCTTTTATCTTTATATTTTAGATTTGTATTAGCATTTTTTTTTACTATATTAATTTTAGTAATTGTATGTGCTTTTGTCATTTTCACTCATTTTTTTAGAGTTCTATTTAGCTTTATTTTTTGTATTTATTTATCAGTTTTCATTTTTAAACATAATTTTCATTAGTTTTTTTAAGTTTGTGTTTCATCTAATATTTGTATTTTATTTCAATTAATAAAAATGATTTTTTTAAAATAGTTTTAGTGTGCAATAACAGCACTGAATGAAATGTGAAAAAAACATTTCATAGGCATGTTATGATTTCACATTCAGTGTTATTTCAGTGGGATACATAGTTTTTATTAATATTTTGTGAAAGTTTTTGTTTTTATATATTCAGTTTTCATATTTTTTTTTTTTTTAGTTAAAGTTTTGGTCATTTTGTTGTGTGTTTTCGTTATTTTTAGTAGGTTTTTTTTCATGTCTATATAGATTTTATTTATTTTTTATTTCCTTGACAACTAGCTGAAATAAAAAATTATAAGATTGAGTTTTTTTTATTTTATTTCAATGAATTTTTTTTTTTTTGTCTTTTAATATATAGTTTTGGTTTCAGTTTTAGTTGACTGAAATCACCTTGCTGATGTTTCTGACGGTCGGCGGCGGCTCGTCCCGCAGTCTCTTCATCGCTGCTATCGGTGTCTCGCTGAAATACGGAGGTTCTCCATCGATCATCTCCACCACCATGATCCCCAGAGAACACATGTCCACCTACAATCACACAAAACATCAGGATCTTTCACTTCGTCATATAGCATTATTGTTTGGGTCTTTACTAGCAAGCTCTGGGTCCGGTTCGTAAAACAACTTTTTCCCCTCTGATTCTTCTTTTTAGAACAGAGTGGAGCACTATTATTATTATAATAGGATGTATTATATATACATGTATTATCGGACCAATCAGAGCAGAGTAGCCTCATGCCTCAGGGGATTGGAAAGATGAATCTTCAAACGAATCGTTTGAGAGTCATTGAGAAATAAGGTCAAATTAAATGCATATTATACTGTAAGTAAATGAAAGTGTTTTTGACCTTGCATGCATGTAGACCTGTTGTTGGGGACTCCCAGAACCAAATTATGAACCTTTCAAATAGCTTAATGGGGCACTTTAAAAAATGTGTAAAAAACGGGATGTTTTTAACATTCAGAAATAACGTTCATTATTATATTTTCAAAATGTTAGCACAAAAACTATCTACACATCATTCATGGAATGTTTCTTCTTTTTTTTTGGACTTTCATGTAGCATTTTTTTTTAAATGTTACTAATTGTTTCAGAACATTTAGAGAACATTCTAACCTTCCCATAATGTTTGCAACGCAAGAATTCTAAAATGGAATGTTCCCTGTAACATTTGCAAAAAAAAATAAAAAAATAAATAAACATTTAAAAAACTGGATGTTTTGAATGTTCAGAGGACATTCAGAAATAACTTTTTCATAACAAAATGGGAACTTAGAACATATTTTGTTAACTGGTAAGGGAAAAGTCATTGTTTTTAATTCGAGAAATCTCTGTTTACTCTCCTAAAGCCATGGCCTCGGTGAAAGTGGAAGGTCATTTCCCAACAATCAGCTCTGGGTCCGGTTCGTAAAACAACTTTTTCCCCTCTGATTCTTCTTTTTAGAACAGAGTGGAGCACTATTATTATTATAATAGGATGTATTATATATACATGTATTATCGGACCAATCAGAGCAGAGTAGCCTCATGCCTCAGGGGATTGGAAAGATGAATCTTCAAACGAATCGTTTGAGAGTCATTGAGAAATAAGGTCAAATTAAATGCATATTATACTGTAAGTAAATGAAAGTGTTTTTGACCTTGCATGCATGTAGACCTGTTGTTGGGGACTCCCAGAACCAAATTATGAACCTTTCAAATAGCTTAATGGGGCACTTTAAAAAATGTGTAAAAAACGGGATGTTTTTAACATTCAGAAATAACGTTCATTATTATATTTTCAAAATGTTAGCACAAAAACTATCTACACATCATTCATGGAATGTTTCTTCTTTTTTTTTGGACTTTCATGTAGCATTTTTTTTTAAATGTTACTAATTGTTTCAGAACATTTAGAGAACATTCTAACCTTCCCATAATGTTTGCAACGCAAGAATTCTAAAATGGAATGTTCCCTGTAACATTTGCAAAAAAAAAATAATAATAAATAAATAAATAAACATTTAAAAAACTGGATGTTTTGAACGTTCAGAGGACATTCAGAAAAAACTTTTTCATAACAAAATGGGAACTTAGAACATATTTTGTTAACTGGTAAGTGAAAAGTCATTGTTTTTAATTCGAGAAATCTCTGTTTACTCTCCTAAAGCCATGGCCTCGGTGAAAGTGGAAGGTCATTTCCCAACAATCTCCCAAAAAGGCCGAATTTTTATGCACCATGTCACTATGAAGGTCTCTTTCCAAACTTTCCTAGACAATGTTGGATAAGTCATGTTATGTTGTTATGAGTTTATAGAGTTTAACATCCGGTAAAGCTAAATCAGCTTTATCCCTACGCAAACATCATTTATTGACTCTAATCATTCCCATTAAAAGGCCTTAATCACAGCATTATATCATCAAAATATTTGGTGTGGCATTGTGACATGAACCAGAATCAAACTGTGGCATCTTTATTACATTCATCTTTCCCATAAACTTAAATAAAATGATTAAAACTCATAATGCTCTCTAAATTAGGGCCAAATATTGAATTCCTTCATGCATCCATTTAAAGTGAACTAACTGAGTGCACTAAAAGTGTCTTTGCCGATTTTGTTAGCACTTTTAGGTCTACATTTAATAAACTTATTGGACAGAAATTAGCATGATAAATCATATGCATGTAGATTTTGGGATAAAACTGTGTTACTCGCAATTGTATGTATATAATTTGGAATAAAACTAATTAAAAACACTATTATTTGTCCTATTAATCCTACTTCCCTACTTACATTAAATGCATGCACCATTCGAGTTTCGACATATGCCTCGAGCAATTTTGTTTATTAAAATGTCTGTGTACTTCATCATATGTGATCTGATTAAATTAAAGGCTAGACTTAGCTACTTTTTTTGCTTTGCATGCATGATCGATGGCGTTTGTTCACCTCAGTGCCGTATGGCGTCTTTGAAACCACTTCCGGCGCCATCCAATACGGAGTCCCGACTAACGACTTCCTCTTCGGGATGTCTTTGCTGATCTGAGCACAGAATCCAAAGTCGGACAGTTTGACCTGTTAAACAGAGATTGAGACGGCACATCAATACTGCTCCTAATATGCTTCCTAAAACTCAAATCAATGGCATTTCCAATTCATATAAATCTACTACAATAAAAGCATGTACTATATTTTCCATTTTAGTGTTAGTTAAAGTTTTAGTATGTTTGTTGCGTGTTTTTGTCATTTTTATATTAGTTTTTGTTTCCTTTTAAATATTTTTATATAGTTTTTATTTTATATTTTCTGTTTTCATTTCAAGTTTAGTTAGTTAATTTTGTTGTGTTTTTGTCTTTTGCATTAATTTAAATGTAATTTTTATATTTTCTGTTTTCATTTTAATTTTAGTTTAAAGTTTTAGTAATTTAGTTGTGAATATTTTATTAGTTTTTTATATCTATATTCTATCTAGTTTTTATTTTTATATTATCCATTTTCATTTTAAGTTTAGGTAGTTTTAGTAGTTTTGTTGTGTCTTTGTATTTTTTATTAGTTGTTGTTTACTTTAAAATATTTCTTTAGTTTTTATTTTTAGATTTTTTTATTTAAATTTTAAAGTTTTAATAACTCTGTTGTGTTTATTTTTATTAGGTTTTGTTTCTTTTCAAACATTTCTATATATTTACATTTTTATATTTTCTGTTTTCATTTTAATTTCAGTAAAAGTTTTAGTAATTTAGTTGTGCATTCATTTTTATGAGTTCTTTCTATTTCTTTATATTTCTATATAGTTTTTATTTTATATTATCAGTTTCATTTTAATTTTAGACAAAGTTGTTGTAATTTTTATTACTTTGTTTCTTTTTAAATATTTCTATATAGTTTTTATTTTTATTTTTTTTCTATTTTTGATTTTAATTTTTGTTAAAGTTAAACTAAACAAAAATGAGAAATGTTGCCTTGGCAGCGTGCTGAAATAAAAAAACTTTAATTTTTAAAAAATATTTTAGTTTAGTTTATGCTTTATTTTACTTCAGATAAAGAAAACGTTTTTGTATTTTTTTGTTTTTAAAAAAAACTGGTGTAGAAACAATTTTCACTCAAAAATTAAATATTTTTTTACAGTGTAGAAAGTACATTCTAAAACATCAGAAGACCCGCAAAACCCCTGCTAAACGCCTAATTCATGTTAATAATTTTGTATATTGTCAAGTCTATGCAGTTCATGCTTATTTTCATAATTGAACAGTGGTTCTCACCGTGCCATCCAGTGTGAGTAAGATAGAGTCGCTCTTGATGTCTCTGTGAATAATGCCCTGAGCGTGAAGATAACAGAGAGCCTGGAGAACGGCTTCACACACCGTAGCAATCTGCTCCTCTGTTAGCCTAAACACACACACACTCACACATATACACACACACACACACTCACACATATACACACACACACTCACTCACACACACACAACACACTCACACACACACACATTTACACACATACACACACACACACAGAGACACACACACAGACACACACTCACACACACATTTACACACATATACACACACACACACACTCACACACACACAAACACACATTTACACACATATACACACACACACAGACACACACATATATATCATAATGAGATTTCCCACCCAATTTCCTTTGTTTTACTTCAATGAAAGGTTAGAATTTTGTGAATTTTTTGAATGAAAGATCAAAAAGGATAAAAAAAAAATGCATATTTATTTTCGCAGCCATCTTTGCTCATATTTACCATGGGTGCTAATATTAGTGGAGGGTGCTGTATATATATATACATATATACTGTATATATATATATATACATACATATTTTTTTTATTATATTTTATTTAAAAAAATATATTTTGATGATAACGATGTGGTTCATCAAGTCATTGAGAGACCAATAATTTTCACTGTTTCTGAATTATTTGATCCCTTTAAAACCAACATTTACAGTATATGTACCTTCTGCACTATTAGTATGAATCTCACTCTACATTATGTTCCATCAAATGTTCTGTTTTCCTCATAAACGTCACATTATGTTGTGAATGAAAGCCGAGACGCTCACACCTCATTGAAGAGCAGTTCTCTCCTCTGCTGCTTCCTCAGGTCCATCATCTTCACCGCGACCTGCCGCCCGCTGTGCTTCTCCCGCGCGATGCACACCGCACCCGTGGAGCCCTCGCCGATCTTCCCGAAGTTCTCCAGAGACGAGCGAGGGTCGCCGGTGTCCACCACCCTCTGCAGCGCGGCTCTGAACTGCTCGTGCGTGACTCTCGAGCAGGGCGACGGGGCTCCGCTGGGACTCGCGGGTCTGTCCTGCGTCGGAGGGACTGAGGCTGGAGTCCCGGGGGGTTTGATGGGACAAATGAGGTCGCTGGAGGAACGGCGTGCGCTTTGGTGGCTGATTATTATTCCATGGCCGGGTTGTGGACATACGAATATACAGTACATATATGGAGTAAAATGCTATGCATTATAATTTTTGCCTGATGTTTTGGTTTGAATGTCATGGAAATAATGCCAATAACTTTTGGAAATAATGCAAAAAATGTAGATTTTGTAATGCAATTTTTTTTTCTTTTGATTTTTTTGAGTGAAACATGATCTGTTTTTGTGAAATTCACCTACCTAGTGACGATTTATAATATAATAATTACATAATGTTAAAAATAGAGTTGTATAACTGGAATATATAATATATTTATGCAGTGAAATGCTTTGCAATATAATATCAACTTTATAATGCTTGTCTATTTTTGCTTAATTATCATATAAATATTGTCAAAAAACAATAATGAATTAAAGTTTTGCAAATAATTCATAAAATATAAAATTCTCTTTAAGCAATAAGTTTATTATTTATTTATTTATTTATTTTTATGCATGCATAAAATAAGATCTGGAAATGTTTTTGTAAGATTTACCTACCTTTCTCTCGGGCGATGCACCCCACGCCCGTGGAGCCCTCGCCGATCTTCACGAAGTTCTCCAGAGACGAGCGAGGGTCGCCGGTGTCCACCACCCTCTGCAGCGCGGCTCTGAACTGCTCGTGCGTGACTCTCGAGCAGGGCGACGGGGCTCCGCTGGGACTCGCGGGTCTGTCCTGCGTCGGAGGGACTGAGGCTGGAGTCCCGGGGGGTTTGATGGGACAAATGAGGTCGCTGGAGGAACGGCGTGCGCTTTGGTGGCTGATTATTATTCCATGGCCGGGTTGTGGACATACGAATATACAGTACATATATGGAGTAAAATGCTATGCATTATAATTTTTGCCTGATGTTTTGGTTTGAATGTCATGGAAATAATGCCAATAACTTTTGGAAATAATGCAAAAAATGTAGATTTTGTAATGCAATTTTTTTTTCTTTTGATTTTTTTGAGTGAAACATGATCTGTTTTTGTGAAATTCACCTACCTAGTGACTATTTATAATATAATAATTACATAATGTTAAAAATAGAGTTGTATAACTGGAATATATAATATATTTATGCAGTGAAATGCTTTGCAATATAATATCAACTTTATAATGCTTGTCTATTTTTGCTTAATTATCATATAAATATTGTCAAAAAACAATAATGAATTAAAGTTTTGCAAATAATTCATAAAATATAAAATTCTCTTTAAGCAATAAGTTTATTATTTATTTATTTATTTTTATGCATGCATAAAATAAGATCTGGAAATGTTTTTGTAAGATTTACCTACCTAGTGATCATATAAAAAAATACTGGAATATTAATATTAAAAATAGCATTGTATTACTGGAATAATATTTTTTGCTTAATTGTAAAATAATGTCAGTAATTTCA